CGCCCTCCTCTCTCCCTTTCCCTCCTCCTCTTCTCCTCCTCCCCTCCTCTCCCCCCTCTTTCTCCCCTTCCCGCCCTCCCTCCCCTCCTCTCCTTCTCTCCTCTTTCTCTTCCACCCTCCTCCTCCTCCCTTCCTCTTCCCTCCCCTCCTCCCCCCCCTCCTTCCTCCCCTCCTACTCCCCCTTCCTGCCGCAGCTGTCCCCAACTCCATAGCAGCCCCCATCCCCCCACCCCTGTGGCCCCTGGTCCCTGCCCCGCCCCCACCCCCCTGCAGAGACCCCGCCTGGCGGGGTTGGGGGACATTGGTGACATCGGGGACATCGGTGACGTCGGGCTCTGGGGGTCCCGTCGCCTCCCCGCGGGCGCCCGCAGCCCCCAGACACCCCCAGCCCGGCCCTGCCTCGGTTTCCCGGCGGGACAGGGCGGGGTGGGGCTGTCACCGCGCGGGTGTCGCCTTGTCCCCGTGGCTGGGGTCGGGACACCGCTGACGGCCCCTGTCCCCGCAGCTCCTGGTGGACCCGGGCGGCCCCGGCGGGCGGGCGGTGGCCTACGAGAGCGTGGTGGCCCAGGACGGCAGCCCGGTCCTGCGCGACCTGGTGCTCAGCCCCGACCGCCGCTTCCTCTACGCCATCACCGAGCGGGGCAGGTCGCGTCGGCCGGGGTCACTGGGGTGTGGGGGGGACCCGGGTGGCGGGGGAACTGGGGTGGTGGGGGTCACCGGTGGCGGGGCACTGGCGTCGGGTGGGACAGCTGGTGGTGGAGCAACTGGGTGGTGGGGGACCACCCGGGCGGACCCACTAAGTGGTGGGACACCGGCGGCGGGCCGACACTACGGTAGTGGGGCATGGGACACTAGGTGGTGGGGGACCACTGGGCGGCGACACTAGGGTGGTGGGGGACACTACGGTGGTGGGCGCGGTGACACTAGGTGGTGGGGGGACACTGTGGCTGTCGTCTCGGGTCGGACACTTAGTGGGTGGGGGGACACCGGGCTCGGCGGTGTGGGCACTGGTGGGTGGGTGGGGGGACCATAGGGTGGTGCGGGACACCGGGCCGGGGAACAGCTACGGTGTGGGGGGGACACTACGGGTGGTGTGGTCACCGGCGGCAGGGACACTGGTGGTGAGGGATGCGACCAGCTGGGTCGGGCGGTGGGTGGGGGGACACTAGTGGTGGACACAGGTGTGGGGTACGGGGCTGGGGGGGACAGCTGGTGGTGGGAGGACTACTGGGTGGTGGGGTCACGCGGATGGCAGGGGTGTCCACCGTTGGTGGCGGGGCGTCACCACAGGGTGCAGGGGGACAGTGCTGGTGGCGGGTGTACCGGGGGTAACTGGGGGTTGGCAGGTCACCGGGTGGCGGGGTCATGGGGATCACCGGGATGGTGGCTGGTCACCAGGGTGTCAGGGGTCTCCAAGTGCAGGCCGGCTTTGCGGGGCCATTGCACAAATGGGGCGGCCTTCCCCGTCCCCCTCCCTGTATGTGACGCTTCCCGCCCCTCGCGAGTTTTCAGCACTCGCGGTGGGTGTCACTGAGGTGGGCTTGGGCTCCCCGTAGTGACCTGGCGACCGGTACACCCGACCCGTCCCCCGCCTCTGGGCGAGGCCCAGGCCCCAAGTGGTTCAGGCCCTTCCCCCCGCTCCCCGCCCTGCCCCCACGCCCAGGACCCCTGTCCCCAGGAGCGTGGCCCTCGGCCTGCGCTCCAGGAATGCCGCCGGTGGTGTGGGGGTGACAACAGAGACACCGGGGTGGCCCGAGCTGCCCACCGCGCTCGCCCCATCCTGTGGCTGGGTCACCCAGGCCAGGCCTCTCCACGGTCCCCTTGGATGTGGTGTGGCGGCCGCGGGCGGCCCAAGGCGACAGGCGACACCGCCCCTCCCCCGCCCCGCAGGTGACACGCGTGCCCGTGGAGAGCTGCGTGCAGTACCCGTCCTGCGAGCTGTGCCTGGGGTCCCGCGACCCGCACTGCGGCTGGTGTGTGCTGCACAGCACGTGAGTGCCCGCGTCGCCGCTGTCCCCAAAGCGGTGACACTTTTGGTGACAAGTGTCGCGTCCCCTCCTCCTGCTCCCCCCCCCACGTGCAGGGGGTGGGGGAGGGACGGGAATGTCGCAGGGCCGAGCTGGGGGAGGGGCGGGTGGAAAAGACGGAGATGGGGGGGCAAGGGGGAGGGGGTGTCACCGAGCCCCGCCCAGCTGTCCCCTTGTCCCCGCAGGTGTTCCCGCCAGGACGCGTGCGACCGAGCCGACGAGCCGCAGCGCTTCGCCGCCGACCTGTCGCAGTGCGTGCGCCTGTCGGTGCAGCCGCGCAACGTGTCCGTCACCATGTCGCAGGTCCCGGTGAGTCCCTGTCCCCTCCCCCCACCCTGCAGCGGTGGGGGGGGCGGGGCGTGCAGGGGCGCGCGGGGACCCCCCCCTCTTTGTCCCCCGAGTTGTCGTCAACTCAGCCCGCCACCCCCCCCTAACCCCCGACCTCCCCGCGGGTCCAGCTGGTGCTGCAGGCCTGGAACGTTCCAGAACTTTCCGCCGGGGTCAACTGCTCGTTCGAGGACTTCACGGAGTCGGAGGGCTTCCTGGAGGAGGACGGCCGCGTGCACTGCCGCTCGCCGTCCGCGCGCGAGGTGGCCCCGATCACGCGGGGGCAGGGTGGGTGTCGCCGCTGCCGGGTGCCTGAGGGAGCCTGGGGGGGAGGGGAGGGGGGAGGGGAGGTCCCTCAAGTCGCCATCTTGGGAGGTGACAAGGTGTCCCAGGTGGCGGCACAAGAGAGAGAGAGGGACCACCTGGCACAGGTGGGGGAGGGGAGGTCCCCGAAGTCGCCATCTGGGAGGTGACAGGTGTCCCAGGTGCGGGGACAGAGAGAGAGAGGCCACCTGGCACAGGTGGGGGAGGGGAGGTCCCTCTGGGGTGTGACCCCCCTGCAGGCGTCTCCAGGGGGCTGCAGGGGGGAGGGGTGGGCGTGCGAGGTCAGAGGTCCCGGTGGGGTCACCTCGTGTCTTGGGGACAACAGGGGCCGATTGGGGTGTTGGGGTGCAGGAAGCCCCACGTGTCGCCACTGTATAGACAGGTCGCCATGGGAACCAGCCGGGGGGACGGCGGGGAGGACGGGGCAGCCCCGTGTCGCCGAGAGGGGGACAGGGAGGCGACAGGTTGGGGACAGGGAGGGGACAGGGAGGCGACAGGGCGGGGACAGGGAGGGGACCAGGAGGGGACAGGGAGGGGACCAGGAGGGGACAGGGAGGCGACAGGGCGGGGACAGGGCGGGGACAGGGAGGCGACAGGGTGGGGACAGGTTGGGGACAGGGAGGGGGACCGGG